AGTTTTACAAAGTTTGTATAATAAGCTTTCAGAAAATATATAACATGCTGGATATATAATACCATCTTCATTGTCTAATTACTCAATTAAAAAGCAAGCCAAATAAACTGCATCTCTACCTTAAGTTGATTTGCATACAAAGCAGAGCTTGCAACATGATAGCTATTCATAATGGGTGTTTTTTTTTTTTTTTTACTTTTCATATAATACAGTAGTCACACAATGAGGCAGTTCATATTTGTCTCAGTGAATCATTAATTTTTGACAGACACCTGTACAAAATACTTGGATAAAAGCCAGCTAAGATTTTCTGTTATCTTGCATGTTTTATGAATTTATTCACGTCTAAATGCAGCACTTTTTTTGTGTTGCGATGAGGCATTTGTTTTTATACTAAAATATCTGAATTACTTTGAATAAAGCTGAAAATTATGTCCCTTAAAATAATTAAACAAATAAGGCACCAATGTTTTTGTAACATATTTACATCTTTTAAGGACATTTGGTAGACTGATTCCCCACTGTTGGTTCAACCCCAAAACTTGTTTGTATTCAAAATTAATTATGACAATGCATATTTATATTGAAACAAAATATGTTAAAGGGAATTATATTATATAACAAAGGGCAAGGTCACCAGAGTTCAACTATGTTTTTTTATGCGGTATCTTTGACGTGCTCTGTCAGTTTTCATTAAAATTTGGCACATACATGTACTTTATACATGACAATTTGTTTTAAAATCTGGTCAAGGATGGCCGATTGACAGCCATCTGACATTTTGGCCCTACTACTATATTTCCACAATTTGTGTACCATTTTCATTTGTATTTGGCACATACATCATACATATCAGTGTGTTTCATAATCAGATCAAAGATGGCCGAATAACGGCTGTTTTTATTTTTGGCCATATTACTACTACACGGAACATGTGTTTTGATGTAAATAAACAATCTGTTTTATATGCCACTTGGAACTCAAGTTTCAAGGACACGCTCGTGACAACCCCTCCGCTTTAATATGATGAGCACAAAGAGAACTTAATTTAACGGGGACTGTGTCATTTTCAATGACTTGTTTTTTATAGGATAATTCTTTTAAGAATTTGTTGTATTTTGAGAATGAATATCTGGCATTGACACCATATTTCCATAACTGCTCTATCCTGCCACATCCTCTATAGTTACAATCTTGTTTTTGAAGTGGTAATTACTGGTATGCTGATGAGTAGTGTTAATTGTAAGTTGCCAACCAATGAGACCTGGCAGCTTTTTGATCTGACCTGTTCACAGAATAGAACAGTCATTATTATTTTGCATCTGATCAAGCTTTAGAAGAAAAATGAATTATCATAAGGACAATAAAATTCCCCCCAGCTTGACTAGTTTATTTATTCGGCAGTGGTGGAAGTTTGATTTTCCACATGGTAATGAAAGATTACACCAATTACTTTTTTGAACAATTTTTAGTCCCCGTTCGGACGTAGTCCGAAAACGGGGACTTATGTTTTGCCCTGTGTGCGTCCGTGCGTCCGTGATCACCTGTATCTCGAACATGCATGGACCGATTAAGTTCAAACTTCACTCATACATCACACATTATATGGGAAATATGCACATGCATTTTTTTCATGATCCGATTAACGATAGCCGAATAGCGGCCATTTTAAGGCCGAAAATGCATCAAAATCACACATTTTCACCATTCCGGACCCGGATCTCAGTTATGCATGGACGGATTTCGTTCAAATTTGGTACATACATTAAACATAATAGGACCTTGATGCACGTCATTTTTTTTTTTTTGGATCGGGTTTGAAATGGCCGACTGGCGGCCATTTT